GCTCTCCGAAGGCTTCCCTCCTAACCCTTCTCGTACAAACTTCCATGGAAAGAAGAGACTGAAAAGGGATAACTTTCCAGATAAAACAGCTGGCAAAAAAAAAAAGGGGGGGGGGTCCCAGGACCACCGGCGCGCCACAATGACTGACAGATTGATGGAGGCCCGGGCCATTTGATCACACGATGACACCTGACCTCCGATCAGTCACGCCGGGTGCCATTCGGTTTTTCCTGTGGAGCCCGGTCTCTAATTCGCGCCGGAGCGAGGGGACAAAACCAACGTCCGTATTGAGTGGTGAAATGCCAAGGAGTGAAACATACCTGGAATAACTCGCTTGTTTGAGCCGATACCGCAAGAACACGCTGATTACGTTAAGTCCTGGAGTCCGGACCTCTGCCGGGGACTACACCTGAATGAGCCGTGCGTGCTAAAAATCAGAGAAAGTTCGATTTTTGTTCGATTTGCTTGACGAGAGACAAAAAATGTTTTTGTTTTGTTTTGTTTTGTTTTGGGTGGGGGGAGTTAAATAGCTTCACAATCTGTCATTCCCTTCAATGTAAAGCTATGCCAGATCGCTATCCACATCCGAGTTCCTTCGATATATACACCTTTGTTCAATTCAATTGCGGCAATTGCTCGTGAATCGGATCAATGAGGAGAATTTCAGTTGCTCATATGCTGGCATCGGTCGGAGCGCCAGCAGCAAGAAGAAGGTCAAAAGAGGGAAGGCGGGCGGCCAAGAACAGAAGGTCACATGAGGTTTCTGGGGTGAAGGAGAGACAGGTACAAAGAGGAGGAGGAGCTCGACTCCCACGCTGTCAGCGGCAAAAAAAAGAAACAGGCTGCAAACGAGCCGACGATTGCTTCACAACCGGACGGTCCAGAGGCCTCGGAAAGCTTCGCCCGTGTTAATGTGTATGAGAATGGGTGAGTCACTCCGATCGACTTGGAGATGCATACCACACAAGCGCACGTTGGCCAGCCTCCTTCTGGGAAATAACAAGTGCCCGCTGACTAAAAAGTTCCTGGTGCGACACAAAGAAGCTTTGCACGCTCACGTCGTAAAAAATGTCAGGAAGTGCGGAAACTATTCAGGATTTCACCCCAAAACAAAAGTAGTCATTAAGCCGGCCTCGACCTTGGAAGTTGGAGGTGGCGTTCAAGCGCACAATTTGTGGCCGGCGAGGCAGCTGCGCTTCTCAAACCAAGTGCGTGCGCGCATGTGTGTG